CCGGCGCCGACACGATGCTGTTGTGTCACCTACGGCACGGATGTCGCCCTGGAGTGCCTGTCGGATCTGCTCGTCTTTGTCGGGCCCAATGCCGACTCACACCGGGTGATCGACCTCTGCGTGTTCATGGTCGCGCCGCCGCGCCATTTTGGCTGCGCCTACTTGATGGTCGCCACCGGGATTTCCACGCCACGGGGTTGGGAGTGCCGCTCCTGGTGCTCTTTCTGAGTGGCTGCCCGCGCGCTTGCTTCGCTTGCCCTCTCTTCTCGCTGCCTAGTCGCGGCCCGGCGAGTGATCGGACGGCTTTCGACTTGCTTCGCGAGCCCGCAGACCAAAAAGTACCTCTGCCAGCCCATCCAGACACGATTGCCATGTGAGTTGCCTGGATGAGGGTGGGACGGATGGGGAGGACGAGGAGGAGGAGGAGGAGGAGGAGGAGGAGGAGGAGGAGGAGGGAGGAGGCCGAAGAGGAGCAAGAGGAGGAACAGGAGGGCGGAGGGAGGAAGAAACTTGAGAGAGGAGGGTGAGCAGAGAGGATGCCCAGGATTATTGCGACGTCGAGCAGACCTGCATCCACCAGAAGTATGGCGGGCAATACTTATATCCATACCCAGAGCGTCTTGGACTTTTTGGGAAGGGGTGCCGCAAGGCCGAGGCGCACAAAATATGGATAAAAGTTGAGCCTCTTGGGGCCAGATTTTTGTCCATATCCAGTGCGCTTCCGGTTTCTGGGGAAGAAGCCCAAAACTCCAAGACGCATTGGATGTGGATGTAACTATTGCCCGCACCTATTCCACCGACGTCAGGCAACGCGCTTCGTCAAAACACCCCTTGCTGGTCTGACTCTGGCCTGGATCGGTTCCGTGGACCACGCCCACCCGTGACCAACATTGGTCAGAAGTTGGTGGGCCGTGTCGTGCCTTTGTGGGTCGCGCCAGGTGCCCCCCCCCTTGGACGGCTGGAGCCGAGGGCGACAGGTTTCGGCCACCCAGAGCTTCAGTTCCCAGGCTCCCGCCTGGGGCCCGCCGCCACTTTGCGACCGCCGCCGGCCTGCGGCCCCCGAGGCGCCCCCACTGCCGCGAAGAGCAGTCGCGGGGGAGGCGTCCCGGTGGAGGGCGTTCCGACCACTCTCCGATGTCTGGGGTGCCGTCCCCCGCCGCGAGAGGCGGCCACGGGGACGGCGCGCTTGTGAGCACGTCGTCGTTTTCTGAAGCGCAAGTGTTTGCTAGAACCAAAGCGCGCGCGAAGCGCGCGCGTGGTTTCTCGTGTACGCATGCGTGCACGATTGTAAGTAAGTAAGCAAGCAAGCAAGCAAGTAACTAAGTATGTATGTCTGTATGTTTGTATGCATGTATGCATGTATGCATGCATCTAATGGCCATCGGCCCATCCCACCACCGTGCCTGGGTTGTGGGTATGAAGCGTGTTGGATATTCGTATACGTATATGTTCGTTGCGATCTCGTGGGCGGCGTCTAGGGGGCCTCTTGGAGGCAGCTTGGGAGCTTTACGGGGGGCATTTGGGGGGTTCGTGGGGCATTTTGGGGCCTCCTGGGGGCTTCGTGGAACGGATGGCACGGATTTTCGGTTCGTGTTCTCTCTCTTGGGCCCCTTTTGGGGCCGTCTTGGGCCCTTTTGGGGCCGTCTTGGGCGCCTTTGGGGCCATCTTGGGGCCTTTTTGTGCCGTCTTGGGGGCGTTCTGAGCCGTTTCGGGGCGGTATTGGAGGCCTTTGGGGCCGTTTTGGAGCGCGTCGGTCAGCCGAAAAGACGAGTAGGCCAAAACAGTAATGATTTTGGCCTCATGGGGCCTTCTGGGAGGCGTCTTGGAGGCCTCTTGGGGCGTCTTGGAGGCCTCTGGCGCTGTATGGGGGCCATCTTGGGCGTCTTGGCCCGATCTTTCGACGACTCGGGGCCCTCTTTGGGCCATCTGCGGGACCCCCCTGGGGCCCTCTTGGGCCGTCTTGGGGCCCGTTGGGGCCCAAGAATTCACGCGACACCATTGAAAAAGCCAGGGGGGCACGCGGGAAGCCCCAGGCGATTTTGGAATTTGGGGTCCGGGCCCCCCCAAAGGCTCCTCAGGGCTGAGGACTGAGACCCCGGGACTGGGCAAAGGACTGGAGGACACGCCTACCCCTCCCACGTGCCGCGACGATGGGCAGCTTGTTATTTTCCGTTCCTCGCCGGTCCAACGTATGGCTTCTGCTTGCGCAAGAGCACAAGCACTTAGGTTCGCTTGTATGCGCCACTGGCAACGGTGACACGTTTGCCAACACTAAGCGCCGCGTGTAGTCGGCTCTGGCAATTTACTCCCCGCTGGCCTTCAAGACGTTCGGGTCTGCCTTCCTCAGCGTCGCCTACAATATTACTTTCTTGCGATCCCTCGTGCTGAGCCGCCTCCTGTTCGCAGTCCACACGCTCATCCCTACTGGCCGGGACCTGAAAGCGGTGAACGGTTATTGCATGAGGGGCTTGCGTCGCATTACTGGCGTACCCCGTTTCAGCAGCGTTTGCAATACCACGGACCGCAAGGTTCTGGAGCAACTGCATCAGCCCAGCCTGGATTACCCCATTTTGTGCCTGCGGCTGGCGTTTACCGCTCGCGCGCGTCGCGACCGGCCAGAGGTCCTGTTAGCATTCCTCCATCTCTGCGTCGGCTCCTCCAGCGAATGTCTTCCATGGGTACGGCAGTTGACTCGAGACATCAACATGCAAGGCCGATTGGCCAGGTCTCCTCGAGTCTCCCGGTTTTTGGCACGACCGCATGCGCCATGCCCACGAACGGCATGTCATGTTTGACGCTGCTTTATTTCATGGCCCCATCTGCGACAGCCAGGTGGCAGCGGCTCCTGATGACTCCTGATGGGCCAATCCGCCCGTTTGCATGCCCAGACCGTAAGTGCGATTTTGCTACAGCACGTGCTCTCGAGACGCACGCGCGGATCACCCATTTAAAGCGGCACATCATTCGCGAATTTGTGCCGTTTGCTGTCTGTCACTGCTGCCATACATACTTTCAGCAGAGGTTCCTCTGCCTTGCGCTCCGATCGGCGACGGCCCCAGTGCAGGATCTGGGTGCCCCAGCATTCGCCTCGCCTGTCGCCAGACGAACTAGCGCGTCTCGGCTTGATTGACAGAGCTCTCAGGCGCGACGCTCAGCGCCTGGGGCGATCCCACCACAGAACCGCAGATACTACCCGTGCCAGCTCTGGCCAGGTCGTGGGGCGCGCCTCTTCGTGGACATCTGTGTCATTCTACCCACTGGCGATTGCAGTCTTCGGTGCGTATAGATACATGTACATACGCATACACATATACATATATATATATATATACATTTACATATACACATACACATATACTTATGTGTATGTGTTTGCATGTATGCATGTGCATACATGCATATATGCATGCATGCATGTATGCATGCACGCATGCATACAGACATGCATGCATACAAACATACACACCTGCATGCATACATGCATGCATGCACATACATACATACATACATACATACATACATCCATACATGAATGTATACATGCATGCATACATACATACACCCATGCACATACATACATGTACGTAGGCATGCACACATACATCCATACATACGTACATACACACATACATACACGCATACAGACATACATGCATGCACACACATACATACATACATACATACATACATACATACATACATACATACATACATACATACATACATACATACATACATACATACATACATACATACATACATACATACATACACACATGCCTACATACATACATACAGGCACACGTACATCCATACATACATACATGCATGCATGCATGCATGCATGCACGTATACATACATACACATACACAGTCATGCATGCACACATACATACATGCATACATCCATACATACATACATACACACATACACCCATACATACATACACACCTACACACATATGTATACATACATACATACACACATACATACATACATACACATACATACATATACCTATATATATATATATATATATATATATACATACATCCATCCATACATACATACACACATGCATACATGCATACACACATGCACTCACATACATACACACATACATACATACATACATACACATACATACACATTCATACACATACATACACATACATACACATACACATACACACATGCATGCATACACACATACACATATACATACATACATACATACATACATACATACATACACACATACATGCATGCATGCATGCATGCATGCATACATACATACATATGTACACGAGTGTGTACGTGTGGTGTGTGTGTGTGTGCGCACCATGTGTGGTGCAAGCTACGCAGTGCAATGCATGAGGTGCAAGATATGTGGGGCAAGACTTGTGGTTCAAGCTAGGAGGTGCCATCTGTGCGGCGCAAGCTGTGCTGCACAACACGTGTGGCGCCAGCCGTGGAGTGCAAGCTGCGCGGGCGAACGCGAGGGGCATGCGGGCAGCCGACCACGGGGCGCACATGGGCGCACGCGGGGTTCACGGGCAGGCACTGGGCGGAACTCCTGGCCAGCGACGGGGCGCCCCCTGGCGGCCGCGGGCACCAGCGCACGGGGCGCCCACGAGGCGCGCACGGATGGCCACCAACTGGGCATCGAGGGGAGCCTCGGCACGCGTAGCCCACTGAAGTGGCAACCTGAGCAGTGGCCCAAAAGTGCAACTCCTGCCTCCTGCACCGAGGGATGATCGATTGTTCCCCTCTGGCACACACCTCGGAAAAGGTACCACAATTCGAAGCTCCTTCTCCTCCTCCTCGCCCCCTCCTCGTTTCCCTCCTCCTCCTCCTCCTCCTCTTTCTCCTTCCCTCCTCCGCCTCCGCCTCCTCCTCCTTCTCCTCCTCCTCCGGTCCTCACTTTCCTCCTCCCCCTCCTCCCCCCTTTTTTCCTCTTCATCAACCATTCTCCAGCCCCGCGCGAGACAGACCCCAGGTGCAGAGAGGAGGGCCTCGTCGTGGACGAGCCCTGACGGCCACCGCCCTCTGGTTGCGCAGGCCAAAAACGCAGGGGGGGGGGTTCGGGGCTTCCAAGCCATCATGTTTCCACGATGCTATCTTATGATTGCTCGCTTTTTTGCAACCAGGGGGGGAGGAGGAGGAGGAGGAGGAGGAGGAGGAGGAGGAGGAGGAGGAGGAGGAGGAGGAGGAGGCGGAGGCGGAGGCGGAGGCGGAGGATTTTATTTTTGTGGCTCCACGCCCCAGGCACCTCCAAAACCCTCCGTCCAGGAAGAGGCACGAGCAGCGCTAATCGCGGAGGAGGAGGAGGTGGAGGAGGAGGAGGAGGAGCAGCAGGAAGAGGAAGACGTGGAATGGAGAGGGGGAGAGAGGGAGAGAGAGAGAGAGAGAGAGCAGAGAGAGCAGAGAGAGCAGAGAGAGCAGAGAGAATGGGGTGCCGACCGCCAATGTCTACGTAGCAGCATTTGCAGGTAACACGATGGCACCCGAGTCGCCCCAGAGATGCAGGCTCTCACCCAACTTCCCCGCCACCGCTGGTGCTCGAAGTGAGTGCACGGGCCCTGCCCGCCCCTGACGTGGGCACACACGCTTGGGGGGGATGGCGGCACCATTCAAACTCGAAAAAAGTGGTTCCGAGGAGTCATTCGACGCAGCTCCAGACAAACCATGGACCTCGCGACTTCGCGCGCCTCTGTGGGGGGGCCACTCTCCTTGGCAGTCATCCTGCGGGCATCTCCAGAGACCACTTCGAGAGCCTGGCCCTCCGAGGAAAGCCCAACAGACTGGGGGGCCCAGGAGGAGAGGAAGAGGAGGGAGCACCAGCGACATCAGGAGACCTTGCAGGAGGAGGAGGAGAAGGAGGAGGATGAGGAGGAGTAGCAGTAGCAGTAGTAGTAGTAGTAGTAGTAGTAGTAGTAGTAGTAGTAGTAGTAGTAGTAGTAGTAGTAGTAGTAGTAGTAGTAGTAGTAGTATAGTAGTAGTAGTAGTAGTAGTAGTAGTAGTAGTAGTAGTAGTAGTAGTAGTAGTAGTAGTAGTAGTAGTAGTAGTAGTAGTAGTAGTAGTAGTAGTAGTAGTAGTAGTAGTAGTAGTAGTAGTAGTAGTAGTAGTAGTAGTAGTAGTAGTAGTAGTAGTAGTAGTAGTAGTAGTAGTAGTAGTAGTAGTAGTAGTAGTAGTAGTAGTAGTAGTAGTAGTAGTAGTAGTAGTAGTAGTAGTAGTAGTAGTAGTAGTAGTAGTAGTAGTAGTAGTAGTAGTAGTAGTAGTAGTAGTAGTAGTAGTAGTAGTAGTAGTAGTAGTAGTAGTAGTAGTAGTAGTAGTAGTAGTAGTAGTAGTAGTAGTAGTAGTAGTAGTAGTATAGTAGTAGTAGTAGTAGGTAGTAGTAGGTAGTAGGAGGAGGAGGAGGCGGAGGCGGAGGCGGAGGCGGAGGCGGAGGCGGAGGCGGAGGCGGAGGCGGAGCGGAGCTGAGAAGCGGAGGCGGAGGCGGAGGCGGAGGCGGAGGCGGAGGCGGAGGCGGAGGCGGAGGCGGAGGCGGAGGAGGAGGGGGAGGGAGGAGGAGGAGGAGGAGGAGGAGCAAAGGCCCCCCCCAAAGCTGGTAACTCCTTGAGCCTGGCGGGCCCCGCCAGAAGAGGACGACGGGAACCTTCACGCGCCAACAACGCCACTTCGCGGGCGCTTGCCGCAGCCAGGGCGCGCCTCTCAAACGCACCCCCCCTCTCCCCGAATCCCCGCCCACCGTCCGACACCCCCCCCTTCATGCCTCACAGCCAGGCTACCTCCAGCAAGGGGATACAACACTGGAACCCCTTCGTCTTCGACCCCCGCGTTCGCCCCCCCCCCCTCCCCCCACTTTCAAAGTTGGCTTCGGCCTCCCGAAGGCCATCGTGGTTCCACTGTTCTTGTCCTCTCACGCCTGTGCTGCCGAATGCTTGGTGCCAACTTTGAAATCACGGGGGGGACTGTGTAAAGGATTCAATGTTTTTGTCCATTTACGGCCCCTTCATCCCGCACGGCCAGGCTACCTCCCATACCTGGGCAATCCTCTCCACCAGCTTGACCGCGTCCCTCTCGGGAGCCCCCCCCCAGGGACCGCACTTGTCTGTTTCTCCCCATATCCGCCGCCAGCAGGCCAGCAGATGCTCGATACGACACCTCTCGAGCTCTGGAAACGTCGCATCGGCTACGAACGCGGAACGCTATTTCCCCGACTTCGATTCTGGGTTGCGAGTGCCTCGGGTTTGACACGCACGGGCTCCCTGCGAGAGCTCGAGAGGAGGCCGAACCATCACCAGCTCCCGCCAAGAGTGTTCGAACCACGTCTTGCAATACACGGGGCACGCTAGATCCTGGCTGGTTGCGCTTGTCAGGGCCGTCCACATTTGACGACACAGTGGCCCGAGATGGTCGGTTTTCTTGGACGCGTCGTTGAGACGTTGCACCTCGTTGTGATACGATCGTCCGGCTTTCGTTACCGCTGCTGCGGTCATCTGCTCTGCAGGCAGCAGGACTGCGTGAAACACGCTGCCGCATATGTCCCTCAAGTCGGCCGCATTCGCGCGAGAGAGAGAGATGGAACCACAAGGTGAAGCGAGAGGGGGAGAGAAAGAGAGAGAGAGAGAGAACGAGAGAGAACGAGAGAGAGAGAGAGAACACAAGCAGGGAGCTTTGTAAACCAACGACGAGTTGACGATAAACGTCCACGCCTCCCTTTCTTGTTGCTGCCTTCTCCGCATCCTCCACCTTAGTCATGGCCTTCGCCTCGGGCTGAGATGCGTCGCCGTCGGTCTGAGACTCTGCCAGCACCCGCGCGGGGCGCTTGTCCATGACTGCCACGGGTACGGGGCCAGGGAGGTAGCGGCTGAGAGCACGGATCTAATTGTGAGCGTAAATGCAACCAGGGCGAATGTTGGTACGAATTGTGAATCTGGAGTTGCTTCAGATGCTGAACGCTGATCTCGCTGCAAAGCCTTCGCGCCGGATAATCGTGAAATGACGCTTGTGTATAGCCCGCGACGCGACTGTAGTCAAACACGTACACACAATATTTTTTAGAAAGGTTAAGCACGCTGTGTAGGACTTGGCACCGAACACATGCTACTGTAAGCGTGTGCGTTCCACGACGGTCACTGTGAACAGCACCACGCACTTGACCATCACCCAGGCACGTCATGCATCGGTACCGTCTCGCCACCTCCCTTATTCCTGGATCATCCTCCTGCGGATCGGGATCAGAAACCACACCTGGAGGAAGAATGGCTACAGCTAGGGATTTGCTCCGAAGTTACCGAACGTCGATCCTAAGAAACAGCTCTCTCGCTTCAGAGTGATGAAACATGTCCAGAAACTTGCCAGGCACGATCTTCAAGAGGTCAGCCGCTTCCTCTAGCACCCCTAGGGTATCGACCTCTTCCCAGTACATGCGAGCCCACGGATGTGCCTGTGAGCTGAGGGATCCACTCGAGGGACAAAACAGGACGGGCCTCAAACATCGCAACCAGTTTTGCAATGATTTGTCGGTGGAACTCGGGTCGACGCACCAGCTCGTGCCAAATATCAAGCCTGCGGATACGAGCCTCCAACTCGGTCTCGACTACGAATCAGTAGGCCAGACCATCCCTGCTCAAAGACCGATCTAGATCATGATTGCGGCGCTTGCTTTGTTTGATAAGCTCAGATATTGTGATAAATTTTCCACCAGCTTCTCAGTAAGGTCATCGGCATACCTCGTGAGAAAAAGGTCCTAGACTGGGCCAGTTACAGGGTAGCTCACGCGTAGCAGCTCCCAGGAACGATCCCATGATCGCTGAGCATTGCGCCTCCGAGCAACAGCAGGACAGAACGTGTAGACAAAGGAGCAGTCAGCAAACTCGTCACCCATGATACCCCGCAGTTCAGACGAAGCGTAACCACCGAATCCTGTCCCTTCAACCAGATATCCGCCCAACGATAACGCTGCTCCCCAAACAACAACTGAGCTTGGCCAGAACAGACAGGGGACTGCTGTCCGCGTAGAGTCTCAGCTGCTAGACCCGAACGCGTCCGCCAAGTCGTGTGCATTCGTGAAGTGTGAGATGCCACCCTTTCGCAACTGGTCCCCCCCCGATGTTCTGGACGAGCTGGGCCTCTTCTCGACGATGATACGGGACGAAGCCGTGACCACAGTTTCCAGGGATCCCAGGACATCAGCACAAAAACAGGAGTGGTACGTTGTGTTCGAGACGCCCAGAGAGGCCCCACCTAATCCATCAACTCATTCACAGCGCGCCGATATTTCACCCATTCGTTAGAGAGACTGGTCCTGGGAGGGAAGTGCAAGCATATCGAATTCACATCTATAGTGCCAGAGCGCTCCCTGCAAAGAAATCCGCGACCTCCAACAAGAGGTGGAGCACACTCCGTACGAGCTAGATGATCCAGCTTTGACCTCCTCCTCCACAAGATGGAACAGCCACAGTGCCCATTCGTGAGCTCACCGGAAGTCCTTCCAACTTCAGCAAGAACTTTGCCGTGTAAATCTCGTCACCGTGGCGACGTGCTTCGAGCTGCCCTGGCGCGCGTGCCAGTCAGTGCATGGTAATCAAAGCTACCAGAAAGATATGTAATGTCAGTTAGGCGAACCATCGAGGAAGTTTGTACCGCATTGAACGGCCTAGCTGTGAACGGAAAGGATGCTATGAAGATTGCGTGAGGGCCGCCAGAGGCGGAGAATCAACACATGCACGCGTACAATCGGAAGGTAGAGGCGGGAGTGTATGTGCCGGCCAGGGGGCATCGCACTTGAGCAGTCCTGTCTGAGGACATGGAGGAGGAGGACGAGGAGGCGGCCGATGATGATGACGATGGACGTGATGGTAGTAATGATGTTGGTTGCGGTGCTTTTGCGAATGATGCTGATGATGATGGTGACGATGGTGGTGGCGGTGGCGGCGTCGGTGGTTGTGATGGCGGTGATGAGGATTACAAGAAAGAGGTTATGATGTAAATGATGATGGTGGTGGTGTTAATGATTGTGTTGATGAGGAGGATACTGCTGGTGTGGGGGCGGGCGTGTGTGTTGGTGCTGTTGATGGCGGTGATAATGATGAAAATGATGATGATG